ACAAGATACATTCATCAAGAATCATAAGGTACAACACTGATTGATAGTCATAGGGTACAAATAAGCAATCAGGAAACAATCAATATCAATAGTAAGGATGCAAGGAACAAAGTTACAGTCCTGTAAATTTGACAAGAGTGGTAGAGTTTTTTAATACATATGTTAAAGTGCTCCGATTGCTTTTTTAGTAACCCTCAGTTCAGATAAATGCATTTTCCCCCTCAAAGCATTTTACTAAGGGTTGGTGGAAAAATGCCCTTATAGTCAGTAAGGGGGTGCTCTGAGACCTACATTCTGCATTGCTTATGAAGGAAGCCTGATCCTAAACAGGAATCTCAGAAGCAGATCACCTTGACCTCCGTATGACTCACTTTTAATAAGCATGTTTAGTCTTACAGTCTTAATATACAACTATTTTTTAAACTACTTGTACAACCAGATCTAGTCTAAGGCTGCCAATAATCAGTGGTTCTGTATATACTCATAACTTGTGAATTTGCTACTTTTTAAGCAGTTATGTTAGCATATATGATTATTAAAACATGTAGCAGATAAGCTGCTAACTGAAACTGAATTCCAAGCTGGAACATGAACTGTGTACCCTGATTATGGAAATGCATTTGTAGAAGAGCTAGCATTGAAGTAAATTAATAGTATTTCACTGTAATGTGTCTCTGTTCAGTGTGTGCTCATTATATGCCATAGTGATCTCAGTAAACCTTTGCACCTGTAAATCTCATTTGAAAGATTTATTGTAATGTATTGGCCACAGAAAGATCATCATTTCATGAATGTTGCATTTGTTGGAATGTGTGTTGCTTGTACATGAGAAATTTCTTTGTTACAAATAAGTTACAGAAATTTTGCACATTTGGGGGTTGGGGTACTCATTGAAATAAATTAAAATTAATTGCTGAGAAAATATTTATACATTCTGGAGAAATCATTTTACTTACTGTAAATAGCTTATCTCTGCATGGAAAGTATAGATTTAATTGAAATAAATCCAACAAAAATAAAGGTAGTGCAAATTGTAATTTCAATATGTTTAAACATTGAATAGCCATTATTACCCTTGTTAATATTTCTGCTAAATTAGTGTGTGTGGGTGTGGGTGTTTGCGCGCACGCATGCGTGCATGCATTCAAGTCATTCTTGACTCCTGGTATTGCATGGATAAGCCCATGCAGTTCTCTTGGCGAGATTTTTGGAAGTTATTTGCCATTACCTTTTTTCTAGAGCTGAGGGACAATGGCTCAAAGTCACCAGCTGGCTTTGTGTCTCGGGCAGAACTAGAATTCAGTCACCTGGTAACTAGTACGGTGCCTTAAACTGCTACGCTATAGTGGCTCTAAATGGTAAATGCTTCAACTGAATTCTTAAAATCTAAATCACTTTATTACATTTAATACAGTAAGTTCAGTAACTTAATATTAATTCCTTTCATATGGTCTTCTTGAAATAAGTAGATAGTACAGCTGCTTTAAGGCCCTCGCATATTTCTTTCTTATCTATGATTGTTCACCCTAGGGTTTAAATAGTTCCTACTTCATCACATTTCTGAATTATGAATACTATTTGCAGTATGTCCCATCATTCTAATTCAAAATGCTTATGAAATAAAATAAAAATCTCTAACTAATTCTGGGCTAAGCAATTAGCTGTGCATAATAATCTGTTGTAGATTGGAATAGGGATAAAAATATCCATCCATCCATTCAGGGATTGGATGATTACTAATGCAGTATAACATCTCCATTTGGAGAAGGTTGCAGCCGCATAGAGTGACTTTCCTTGCTGAATATGAACATTATGTTAGTCGTTACAGTTAATTCAAAGGTAAATAGTCTTAAATTATTCAGTTCCCCAAATATTTAACTATGATAATAACCTGCCTTCCATGAAATAAAAAAGTAAGGTAGCTTTCTTGACAATGTCTTAATTTTACCATGTTATTGTAGTCCTCCATTTATTTTGCCTAGCAAAAATAAAATTGAAGATCAAGATTAGTTTTTTCGTGTACTTTAATGTTACTTATTAATGTGTACTTTCCTTCAGTAAATGCTGATAGAATTACATAGTATTAATTTTCTTAAAGAGTGTGGAAAAGCAGCTTTTGTAAAAGTAAAGCTGTGGTCTTGAATGTTTCAAAATACTCATGTCCAATGGTAATGGAATTTTTAAAAATTGAGTTTTAATGATAAATTATTTTCTGAAATTTAGGTTGCAATCCAAATACTGGAACCAAGCTGCATTAAGCTCAGTGAAGCTTAGCCTGAGTATAAGGATAAAGCTACACTTCTATAATTAAGGAGCCTTTTTGGTGTAACTATGATTTTTCCTATCTATCTATGAGGAAACAGTCTTAATGCTACTATAATAAGCTTTTTATAGATGAAGATTATAACTTCATGAATTCTTGCTAAGCCCTTATGCAATTTGTCTTTCAAAAAGTAAACTTTATATTTTCATTACCAACAGATTTCTGATGTTCCTATGTATTAATGTATTTGTTTACATTGGAGTGGTGGAGGAAGAATAGAAATTGTACCATAATGATAATTGAAAATACGTAGCTAGACAATCTTGTGTTATTGGACCTAACTAAAAATTAGGTTTTGTATATGTAGAGACAATGTTCCCTCTAATTTTTTTCAGTGTGTGCGGAAAAGTATAGTGTTTGAGTGGCACATTTTCTATTCTTCCTCCACCACGCCAATGTAAACAAATACATTAATACATAGGAACATCAGAAGTCTGGTGGAGATGATAATATACAGAT